CACGATCCAGAAAATAAAGGTCGCGCCATTCGCGGACCGCTAACCCTCTCTTCGTCGATTTGACAGCATCCACCCATTCGCTGACGTCACACAATTCTTTTGTTTACATTTTCTGGTTCGTGACGTTTTAGGTTATTTCAACTTTACAAATTTACAAATTCGGAAGACTTTGAGCGTTGTTTTGTTTTTTGTGAAAACTGATAAAAAAAGTTATAAATTAAAGAAAAAAATCAGGTGTGCAGTGGTTAATTGTGCTAGTGTAAGTGCCAAAGGATCTGGGTGCGCTTTTTTTACTTTTCCGGCCGACATTGAGTTGGTGGAAAAGTGGATCCACTTCTGCCGGAGACCAACGATTTTCAACGCCCGAACCAGCGTCATCTGTGTAAAACACTTCACCACTGATGACTTCGAGAACGAGCTTCAATATAAAATGGGTAAGTTGTACTATTTAATTCGCCAATAAACGCTTATTGGATTTCGTGAGGATGGTGTGACTCAGGAGTAAATTTCACGAAAGGTAGCCGCGCTCATCGTAAATATGAAACCCCCCGGAAGCTTATATTTTTCACTTTTCATTAATACTGCTTTTTATTAAAAGAAATGTTTTAAATTGTGTTAGGCTACGCTAAAAAGCGTAAACTAAAGCGGGGCGTTGTGCCGACAATTTTCAAGCCTGCTGCGGAAATGCCAGATCCTGACAAGGAAGCCCAGCAGCAAGTGTACAAGTGTTTGTATACATAAAGGGCCCTTTTCAGGGCCGCAAAGAATTTACAAAGGGATCAAATGCTTTATATAAGCTTATCTGGGTCTACATACACAATACCATATATACACAAAAGGCCCTTTTCAGGGCCGCAAAAAATTAACAAAGAGATCAATTTTTGACTGTCGTGATAACGAATAAGAAATGTACATATGAGTAGTCCACTTGCAAACAGCGTTATGTGATGTTAAAATAGAAAGCCATAAATTTGAAAAAACGATTACGACAACAAGTAACATTTAAATTTAATCTTTTTTATTACCTAAAAATTTGGATAAAAAAGAGCCTTATAAAATTGTAACGTAACATAACATGTCATAAGATAACATTAACAGTCTATACGACCTAAAGCAGTTCTCTAAGTTCATCAGAAGATAGATACTTTTGAAAGTTTATAAATAAGTATGATAGCGACTTTTGGAAGAAGACTTAACATTTGATGCTAATATAAAAAGATTTTGCACTCTGTTGTTACTGGACATGAAACTACTTTAAATACTGGTACGTAATCCATCAAAAACTAAAAATCGAACAAATTTTACATAGCGCCCTTTGCAAGTCGTCGTTTAAAGTACAAAACCGCGTATCAACAAAATGCAAAACCGCGTATCATGATAATGAAAAACCGCGTTTGTGAGGTTGCATAAATCACCACCAACTATTTTTTAATTGTGTGAAATTTCATAATAAAACTTTTATGTTAGCTTGCGAATTCCTTATATATAGCTTTAGACGTTTAAAGTTTCTGATATACAACAGTACGACAGTATACAACGGTTTGAAGTCGGTGCCCATGCTGGCTAATTTAGATTGTAACGCATACACCATGATGTAGGTCAATTCATGAATCTCTTGCGGTCGATCATCAAAAAGACTCTTCTTTTTGGCCACTGCAAAAGAAAAGGTAAAGTAATATTTATAATTAAGAACACCTTTTCATTTTATACTCACGCATTGTCAATTTTTCCAACTTGGCATATGCACTTGCTATGTTTTTGCCAATATATTTTGTGACCATCATAAATTCCTGCACCATGGACTGTAAGAAATGCGTAAACATAATAATGTAAACATCTTCAAATGCACTTCTACTTCTAACTTACTTGTAAGTCTCTAATCTGTTCCTCGTACATAAATTGCGTCTACGTCAAGGTCTCTATACGATTGCCGCCTTGGTTTACATTGGCCTTATCCGACATTTCCAACTCATTTGGCTTTTCTTTGAACTGATGTTCAACATCGGGAGCACGTTGCTGCATTACATCTAACAAGTACCCTTTTTGAGTGGATTTTTGGCTTTACTCGATATTTACAGCC